TTCTTTTGAAGCGAAGAAAATCAGCAGATATTTAACTGGGAAAACAAATAACTAAAAGCGTTTTGCTGTTTCTGTTTTGACTGTTGTGACTTAATCAAACCACATTCATATTTATCACTGTGAAGAAAAAAAATCCATTAATGCTTTGAATAAATGAAATGGTCGACAATAATTATAGAAATTCAAATCAACATTTTCATAACTGTCACTGGTTTTAGTTTCAGTCTGTTTCACCTGAACTTCAAGGCCTTAACTTTGGGCCTGTATCTGTACAAAGTGTTATTATTATAGATCCATGGAACAAATGCACTTTCACGATACTGTCCACCATTACAGCCACAAACAGCATTAATGTTTGTCAATATTAGTGTTTTAAATCCTATAGTGGTTTTATTTTAAACAAAGTAGTTTCAGTAGAACCAGTGTGAAAAAGTGACATCATTATTATTTGTTATATAATTATTCTTTTCAGTTTAAATTCTTGAATCACAATAGTTTCTGCATAGTATCAATTATTGTTTTATATATTCTTTGACAATCTTATAAAGGTCAGGCTAGTTTATTTGTTTGGTATGGTATGGTATATAACTCATACACAATGTAATTCAAAGTGCTTTTCAAGAACATAAGGAAACAAACATGTGAAAACAAAGTAATCCAAGTTACATTCATGATAATCCCGTGAATGTTGGCTGGTCTGGTCTGGTACAGTTCAGTGGCTGTGGTTTTTCTGGCTTCAGACGTGAAGAAAATGTGGGTTCTTTGTGCGGCGTCACATGATTGGGATCAGAGTCCGAGGTCAGGAAAAGTGTGAAACCCAAGTGTCCTTCTCAAACGCTCAACACCCATTACTGTATTCGGCTTAAATGGATAAATCGCTGCTTAAAAAATGCAGATCTCTAGTGATTTAGAAGTTTTTAGATGTATTAGACCCATTGACAAAATGGGTCTAATACATCTAAAAACTTCTAAATCACTAGAGATCTGCATTTTTTTAATGCACCCTACATGGAAAGTTGGAAATATTATTTTGGATTTGTGAAATGTGTTTTTTATATTTGACCCAGATCTGGACCAGACTAAGGATAAACCACCAATAATAATTAATAATAATAATAATTAAATGAAAAATGGGTAGAGCATTGTTCCTTCCAAGCAGCTGCCGTTTCTAGTTTAAAGTATAAAGTGAATTAATATCTTTTAAATCTTATCCTCTATCTGAAGAATGGTAAGAATTTTTTTTTTTCTGAAGCTAAAGGCTAAAAGCGGCATGGCTCAATGACAGCTTCCACATTCACAATCGTAAATGTGATTGTTTTTGGTTCAATATAGTTTTTGGGCCTTGTTTCTTGAATTCTTGAATTAAAAAAAATAAATAAAAAAATGGTCCAAAACATGTTCCAAATGTCCAGGCGTTTACATACAGTACCTGGTGGGTCTGGTATCATGTTTTTCTTTAATAATATAATTTGGACAGAACGGACCAAACCATGGAAAGAACAATAGAGGGCGTCGTGTCTCGATGCCAGTCTCTGGTGTCGACCCACATAGAGATGGCTTATGGGCGTCTCACACAAACTCACATATGGATAGTTTATCTGCTCTGTGCCATGAGAAGGATTAACCTTTTTACCTCTGCCCTGTTCTCCTGACCCTCTATTTGCAGCTGTCCGAGTCCAAAACACTGACATCTTATTGGATGTTCATGTGAGAATATGCCTCCAGACGATCATCTGCTCTGACCTTGGCTTTACCCGTCCGATTACACAGAGGCCCATACTTTCATCCACACAGGGTTACCCATACTTTCATCCACACAGAGGCCCATACTTTCATCCAAACAGGGTTACCCATACTTTCATCCACACAGGGTTACCCATACTTTCATCCACACAGGGTTACCCATACGTTCATCCACACAGAGGCCCATACTTTCATCCACACAGGGTTACCCATACTTTCATCCACACAGAGGCCCATACTTTCATCCACACAGGGTTACCCATACTTTCATCCACACAGAGGCCCATACTTTCATCCACACAGGGTTACCCATACTTTCATCCACACAGGGTTACCCATACTTTCATCCAAACAGGGTTACCCATACTTTCATCCACACAGGGTTACCCATACTTTCATCCACACAGGGTTGCCCATACTTTCATCCACAGGAGGTTATGGATGCTCCTTGTTGGACTGTTCTTGTTGTTTTTCATTAAGTCCAGACTATTGCATGTTTTCACTTGGTTCACTGATGAACATTGTCTCTGTGTAGAGCCCAATATCTTGGTATAATTATTAGAAAACTATCTTTAAACAGTAAAATAACTTAGAAATAGGATCTTATAGTTTATGTCTGGTTTTCAGATAGCTACAGTTAATATTCATATTATTTTTCCATTCTGCCTGACTGCGTCCCTCACCTGGGCCGGGTGAGTTGGGGAGGGCAGAGGGCGAGCCCGGGGCAAAGGCAGGTCTTACAGATCCAGATCTCCCTCTGTAATCTCTGCCCCTGCTCTGAACCCTGGATCCCATTAAAAAGGATTTACATCCAATAGTGTAGATGTACCAAAGGCAGCTTTGCTTTCTTCTCGTCTCATCATTTTCCCCCACTAATAAAATCCCTGTATAACACCAGCCCCCTCCGTACGGGGCCGTGCACAGCAGTGATGTGAACAGGAGGGTGAGGCCCCGCCCACTCAGAGGGATAAAGCCACAGGATTGGTCACTTACTTCAGCTGCACTCAAATCCATTTATGGACTGTGGATGTTTGGCAAGCACTGGGGCATGAGTAAAACACTGCAGCTGATCTTAGAGAGTGAGAGGGTGAGCTAACGAGCACAAAACCGTCCTGATAAAAGAAAAGGAGCAGGATGCAAATGCAGCCATCCTCATGGTGTCCCGGTCTAGACCAGTCCCTCAGGGTTTGAGACCGCATGGTGTCCCGGTCTAGACCAGTCCCTCAGGGTTTGGGACAGTCCCATGTGTTGTCGTCGGCATCACCTTGAGCTGTACCAATCCCATTATCTGTGCCACAGGCCTCTATGATCTCAGTGCAGAGAGTTTGTTCACATGTGGCTTCTATCAATACATCTGAATGTACAGCCTTTCAACCAGCAGCAGAAAGTGGTTCACATTAGAAGTCTGGCCATACACCTTCCTATAATCATCTACACCTTCCTATAATCATCTACACCTTCCTATAATCATCTACACCTTCCTACAATCATCTACACCTTCCTATAATCATCTCAAACTGACTCCGTACGAAGAAACCTATTACGAATCATCCTTAGGCTGGTGCCACTGTCACGCTGCTGTGTAAACACGTCACAGTTCAGTAGCACATGAGAGACTATGTATTCAAGAAATGTATTTACAATTTATAATAAAATACAACATCATTAAAGAATGTAATGTGATAATAAACAGCCAAGTTGTAGTTTTTTTTAATACAAACGGTCGTGCTCAGCTTTGGGCCGTAACAATGAGCACTGAAGCTGCTTTGAATTTGACTCTGGTTTTGTGATTTAATTTCATATCTAAAAACAACCAAACGATTTCATGTAATTATTTTTGATTTATTTAAACTAATAACAATTTTTTTTTTTGAACTGCTGTCCCTCAATGTATTAGTTTTTTAAGCGCAAGAAAGGCTATCACCCCATAAATCTATTTATCATAAATGTTTATTTATTATGTATACATATGTTTATATATGTATATTTATTTTATTATTTCATTTTATTCACACAAAGTGTAACAAAAGTAAAAAAAAACATTTATTGGAGGGACAGGACAGGGGTTCCCTTTATCTCCCTGGATATTCTCTGCCACATCGTCTCTTGAGCGTTCTAGTTCTACAGCTCGGTCAAGCCGCATGTATTTTTCATGTGAGATTTCTTTGTGAGAGCGTTCTTCTGACCTCTGCGTGCCCTTCAATCAACATCAGGCCAGGCACAACTATTCCACACGCCACATACATTTAAAGCTACACTGCGGCGCATTAAATAAACATGGAGAACAAGGACAGGCAGAGTTCAGCGCGTTTCCTCTGACCTGCGGCGGGGGGCGTGGCCTGCGGCGGGTGGCGTGACCTCGGCAGGTGGCGGGGCCTGCGGCGGGTGGCGTGACCTCGGCGTTTGGCGTGACCGGCGGCGCCGCCTTTCATCAGCTGGTTGATTGGTTTTCCTTCTCACCATTACATTTGATATTGTTGGATCATCCCTTATAAATGGTTCAATAATTCCCCTTCACTTGGCGTGCCAACATCCTCGGGGGCGGATGTTTCAATACTGGGTTGAGTGTCGGTCCAACTCCAATCTAATAAAAATAGAAAATGGATGTTTTGCCTGTTTGACTGGTTTATCCGATATTGCGTGACTTTGCAGCCACAGAATCGAGCTTCTCAAAAAAGTCACTCACAAAGTCAGTAAGTGCAGAGCTACAACTCCCCCTGTGTCCAAACTATGTTAAAAGAACATGTTTTATTCATACGGGGAGGGTTCATTCAGCGGCCTGGAAGGAGATCTAAGTATATTTTGCAAGGTGGAAAGGCCAGATGGATTTATATCAACCCCATATAAAAAATATACTTATGGTAATGGTAAAGCCGCCTGTTACTGGATCGATAACATTTATCTATTCAAACTGAGCCAACATTATAATGGTTTGAAGAAGTCAGTAATAATTTGTTTTGGATGTTTTGGTTTTTTGAAGGCAGAACTTATCTATTGAAGTAGATTTATCAAAGCAAACTTATCTGTTAGCTGTGTGGCAGATGCTGAGGGAAGCCTTTATATGTTTTTCCTGGTATAAAACCATTTGAATGCTGTGCCCTGGTCAGGTGACTTACGCTGTAACGACACACTTGTTTGTCATTTTCTTTCATTATCCTTGTTATTATTAGTATTGTGACATATTTGTGAAAAGAGTGTTAAGTCAAAGTTGAAACTTGACTTATGTTGCTCATAAACTTTATCATCTGTCATTCCAGGTCAAAGTTTGGTTCCAGAACCGAAGGACAAAGCAGAAAAAGGACACGACGAAGGACTCGGACAAGCGCTCTTCCTCCACCTCCGAGTCTCTGGCCACTTGTAACATCTTAAGGCTTTTGGAGCAGGGCCGGCTCCTCTCCGGCCCCGCTCCTCCTCCGAACCCCCTCCTGGGGCCCCACCATAACGGCTCCCTCCTGGGCAGCCCCGGAGCTTCCTCCAACTCCCCCAGCCTCAACAGCAACCCGCCGACCTCCCTGCCCTCCACATTCGGTCTCTCCCTCCCTTCTTTGGGGGGGACACCTCCGTCACCGCGGCTGGGAGTCCCACCCCCTCACTCCCTGTGCTTCTCCATGCCGCTCCTGGGGGCCCACCATGAACTGAGCTCGGCGTACGGCTGTGGCTCTTCGGCCTTTGAGCCCTACATGCGCCTGGACAGAAAGGACGTGGATCTGGGCGGGAAGAAAACCGTGTCCTAAGTCCTTTTCCCGCAACGTTAACGTTGGTTTGACTGTCAAAGAGAAGCCAGCGTGACGGGGGAGGACTTTTGTGCGACGCAAGTGTGAACTCTTACACAATAAAAAAAAAAAAGACTTGTGAATTTGGGACTTGTTGTGACTCTCGGTGGTTTTAATGGACTCTCACTTTTGTCCCGTGCGTTGGTGTGCGTGCTGTCGCTCTATACAGGCCTTCATTTCACTGTTCAGGAAAAAAAAATACTTTGATCATACCAGTCTAACGCGGCGTTGAATGGATACCGTGTTTTTCAAAATTAGCATCTCTCATCCAAGTGGCCACGTTTGAGTTTAGTTTTTGTGCTATCACTTATGAAGAAAGAAAAAAAATGTATCGTAGCCTCTTAATACCAGTCTGTTATGTGTCCAGAGGTAGTTTTGTAAATTCTTTATTTGGATGTGTTTGTGTAAGAAACTTTGATTGGTAGGATCTGTTCAAAAATCTCATTGTACTGGGAGGGAAAAAAGAAAACAAAAAGCTGGTTTAGACTCTGCCAAAGCTAGAAATGATAAAGCGTCTCAACAATGACAGCCATTTTAAAGTTTTGAATCACTTTTTCACATGTCTGTAAAAAAATACTTGACCAAGTTTGTAGAGAAACTTTGTAAAGACGGTTATTTAAGCTTGAAATCCAGCTCTTAAACTCAGTTGTACAATATCTTTTTTCATCTACACACTGTACATTTTGAATAAGCTAGGACCTCTAAAATATTCCAAAACGTTATTTATACTTTATTTTGATGTTCCCCTTTTGTGTACGTTTAGGCTCCACTCAAAGCACTTTATGTTCTTAGTCATTCTCTCCCAGTGACCCCCCCCCCTTATAGTTTTGAAGCTATTTAATGACATAATGAAAACCCACGCAGGTCCACTAGGGTCTGTATCCTCAAATATATATTGTTTTAATTTTCCTGTTATAATTCGTACATTTACATGACCACATATTGGATCTATTTGAAATTCTCCTTCAGGTGATGTTGCGTTTTGCTCCCTGTCTTTCTGACGCCCAAAGAAAATCAAAAGTCACCCATGGGAACCTGCAATTTGTGAACGCTTGGCCCCAATTTGCGCGTGTCATTCCAGTTATTGCCCCGTCCAAGCTAAGCCATTTCCGACCATTTCTTCCACCTACCTATTCATTTCTCCATTGTGAGCGGTAATGCGTTTTCCCTCAAGGCGATTCCCCAGCTATTAAAAACCGACCCTGCTATGACATCCGAAGCAAAAAAATAAAAAATAAAAACCCCAGACGTATTTTTCAACACGATATATTCATCTTTTAAAAATGCTTTGAAAAAAATCTCCAAAGCGGTGGTCCCTTTTTGCACCTGGTAACCGGTGGCTTCTTGTGGACCCGCAGAGGTTAGAAGTGCTAACAACAGCCTCGTGCTAGCTCCTCACTGTTGTACAACTATTTTCTATAAGCTTCATGTATTATTTACTCGCCAAGTTCATCCATTATTGAGAAACGTGATGGAGACAAAAGTTCAGAGCGTTTCACCTTAAAACTACAGATGATTTTACACAGTGCGCCATGTTTTTAAAATGTGTTTAATTGAATTGAATTATGGAAAAAATAACTTGATTTAAGCATGTTTCAACCGTCTCAGAGCAGGATGATCCACCAGGACGTGCAGCGTTAGGATCCTGAAGGTGGAAATTAGGCAAAAGGCCCATTTACTTCTGTGTTTCAACTTTCAATGTGAACTAATATGGTTTTGAAAACGCACAGTCAGCTATAATCATCCAAAGGCTGAGCACATGTCTCTTTGTGATGAATTACAGAAATAAAAACACATTTTACTTCAACGGCAAAGACAAACCAAGTCCAAATGACCCGTTTTTTATCACAGCTTAATAACACTACTGTTCGACAAAATGCATTTTTTTATTTTTCAAATGTCTCACATGTTAAAACTTACCAGCTGACATCGTTATCAATGCAACCTGTAACATTTTACATTTTTTTAGAGGGACATCTTTTAGTAGATTTTGCCTGAATGAGGACTTTTATCAATACGTCCTTTTTTTTAAGCAGTTTTTTTAGTGCTTCCTCGTGTAGACAAGTTTTTAAATGCACACAAAAGCAGCTAAACTATGGTTCTTTTTGCCAGAAAGAGATAAACTCAGAACGCCTTTATTACACGTTTTAGTTTTGTTGCGTGCAGTTAGTAACATCTTGCACTTGAATGCCAGCATCTCAAAGGGCTTCTCTTTTACAACTTTCAATCTTTGAGGAGTGGTATTGTGATTTTATTTTTATTTTTCTGTACTTTTTGAGCACAGGTCCTGCAGGCCACAAACCTCTGTTTACTGAACTACATGTCAATGCTATCGGCACCAGTTACCACTGTTTGTACATATATATACATTTCTATATAAATATATATGAATGGGTCTTTGCACAGTATCATGTGATTTAACAGGAAAAACAAAATGAAATATGCTTTACATTTCTTTGTCTCATTAACATTTTGCACTTATTTAAAAGAGGCTACTTCTGTTTTCCCGGGACGGACGAGACGTTTCCAGACTCGCCCACAAATGTTGTACAATATGTATATGTATTTTTATTCATATGCATATAAATATATGTCTATGTAATTTGCATTCTGTGTCTTGGATCATTTTCTTTCAACCTTTTCCTGAGTGAGTGAAATATCTGCCCAATATAAACTGAAGAAGCTGAAAGCGTTACCACTGTTACTTTTCCCGACATCATTTTCATTAGAATATCTCAGGTGGCACTTATTTTAAAACTCAAAGCTAGAATACTTAAGTGGAAGTCTATCCCTCTAACTTTCTCTGAAAACACTCCACATGTGTTTTAAGATAAGCTTTTTCACACATGAGTGAAACAGGACCATGCTCAGGCACCAATCAGCTCTCAAAGCTCCCAAAGCGTCAAAAAGTGACTCACAGGGTTCTTTCTTACATGACTGCAACATGATGAAGACAGCATTTTGAATTATACGTATTTAAAGAATCGTTTATGAAGCAAAAAATGTAGGTACACCAGCTTTAATGCAAGACATCTTCCTGTTTTTTGTCTTTTTCACTACAGCCCTGGGCACTCAGCAGTATTTAACATGGACATCATGAAACCTTAAAGTCTGTATTTATGATGAAACTATTTTTCTTCTGAAATATTAATAGAAAAGTACATTAGATTAAACATGTTGAAAAGCTGATGCACATTCTGCCCATGAAGGTATAGATAAAAAAAATGCTAAATGTAGGTATGTGTTATTTTGTTCTCGCCTGTGCACATTTATAGCCAGTGTTAAAGGTACATTTTGGGGTAAACTCAGCAGAGCGTGGGGTAGAATAAAAGTGATTGTGTTTTTGATGCTTGGTCCATTCAGAGCCAGTGTCGGAGCCTCAGACCTCTGGACCTAGGCCTTTCAGCTCGGCCTTTTGAAAACCGCTTCAGATCCTGGCTCTCAATTCAGTCCACGTCCTTGGGCCTTTAATTGGATGCAAAAATGGCTTCATAAAAAGAAAAGCGATATTTAGTTTGTATAATTGGATCTGAGTCTGACTGAATGACCACCAGAGCAAATGTATTCTTCCAATTTCACCCCTTTCACTTGTAAATGAAAATGTTTGGTGTTCTGAGGAACGCAGCAGCGGAGGTGAAGAATGCAAAGTCCACGGAAAACAAGTTCTTACAAAGATCAAACCAGATTTAGCCACAAAAAATTCATGCATTCATTTACGTTTATGGATAGAAATGTGTGAAATGTGCCGATTTTACACTCACGTGGACATAAATAATTAGTCCAAAGAATATTATAATTACAGTAATTAGAGCTGGCCTCAACATTGGCCTAAAGTGAAATAGTATCTTAATTTAAATGTAGTTAATTAGGCCATAATAATTTAGGATTTATGGGAAATAAATATACTAATACTTATTTAATACTAATACATAAATGTACATAATGTTTGCCATCTGGTATTAGCATATATTATTATAGACAGCACACACAAATAAGGGAATGATTTCATAGTTTACTCGGTTAAATCAAAATTTCATCTAAAACATATTAGTTGAATAACATAAATCCCTACTCTACTGCAGGGGTCTCCAACCTTTTCCAACCGGAGAGCTACTTTTATACAAACGAAGAGGCAGAGAGCTAAAAATCAATCTAATAATTGTGACCAAACTCAGAGAACACACATAAAATACACCATAATACTGTATAACCCAATATTTATACTTATTATAGATATGTAATGGGTCAAAAGGTATTCACATAAATGTATTTGTTAAATTCTAATTCCTTTGGCGAGCTACCTGTGAGGGGCTGGCGAGCTATCTGTGAGGGGCTGGCGAGCTACCTGTGAGGGGCTGGCGAGCTACCTGTGAGGGGCTGGCGAGCTACCTGTAAGGGGCTGGCGAGCTACCTGTGAGGGGCTGGCGAGCTATCTGTGAGGGGCTGGCGAGCTACCTGTAAGGGGCTGGCGAGCTATCTGTGAGGGGCTGGCGAGCTACCTGTGAGGGGCTGGCGAGCTACCTGTAAGGGGCTGGCGAGCTATCTGTGAGGGGCTGGCGAGCTACCTGTAAGGGGCTGGCGAGCTACCTGTGAGGGGCTGGCGAGCTATCTGTGAGGGGCTGGCGAGCTACCTGTGAGGGGCTGGCGAGCTACCTGTGAGGGGCTGGCGAGCTACCTGTAAGGGGCTGGCGAGCTACCTGTGAGGGGCTGGCGAGCTATCTGTGAGGGGCTGGCGAGCTACCTGTAAGGGGCTGGCGAGCTATCTGTGAGGGGCTGGCGAGCTACCTGTAAGGGGCTGGCGAGCTACCTGTGAGGGGCTGGCGAGCTATCTGTGAGGGGCTGGCGAGCTACCTGTGAGGGGCTGGCGAGCTACCTGTAAGGGGCTGGTGAGCTACCTGTGAGGGGCTGGCGAGCTACCTGTGAGGGGCTGGTGAGCTACCTGTGAGGGGCTGGCGAGCTAT